AAGTCCTCTATAGTTATTTTCTACTTTGGTTTCCCGCAATGCTTCTTGCAAAATCCTTGTGTTTTGTGGTAGTATTGTGGGCACTAATCCAGTCGCGTATCTAGGGTGTGGCAGTCATAGCTCGTGCCATGAGCGCCGTTTAAATGGGGCGCAAAAACGGCGAAAAGTATAATAATAAAACGTTTCAATAAAATAATTTTAAATTGGGAATAATTGAAACTCGTATTTTTACTCAAATAATAACGTAGAAGTATCCTAATTCATTAATAATCATTATAAATTGTCAAACAACTATCAAAGGGGGTCATTTTTAGACTTTGCCATGGGCGCCATTTTAAGTAAATACGCCACTGCACTAATTGGTGTTTTCCCCATGGTCTCTGAGTTCATATAATTGTCACAATAGCAGAAGTGAGCATAGCTCTCACCCTTTCGACATTAGCAAATTCCTTATCATAGTCGAAACGGAACTTGTGCTTACGCTTGCTTAGAATGTTTCATTTTTTAATGTTTTGCTACAAAAGGTCTCATATTCTTTGAACATGTTCAATACAAATTGAGTAGGTAACTTTTGATTGACCAGTGTCTACAAAAATAATTTTCTGCCCATTCCTTGTTAAAAACGCGACATTCGGAATCAACTTTGCGTTTTTTACTCATATTGAAGGTTTTATTACAGCGGCTGGCAAAATAGGGCAGATGTACAGAGAAAATTGACAGAAAAAGAAGCTGAAAAGCTGAGCTAACGTTTTTATAATAAGCAGCACAATATAACAGTCGGGGTCGTCATCTCCCGCAGTAAATATGTAAATCCTATTCTATAACGTTATTGATAAATGCAAACCGCTCATAGCTCAAGGTTGTAGATACCAAGAGAGTAGCTACATGAATCGCATTTTTGTAATTTACAAATAAAAATACTGTAACTAGTCCCTGGTTGGTCAAAAAAAAATTTCTTTCCGAAGAGTTAAAAAAAAAAATAGAAAATTTTTCCACTAAACGTAAACGCAAGTGCAGCTAACTCAGCAGAAAACCTGCTTCAAAACAATCTGTAATAGTAAAGTTTATGATCTTTTGTAATAAATACAGTAAATTGCAATAATAGTGAAATGCATGAAATTAATATGCAAATGACATTTGAAATTTAAGAAAATAGCAAAATTTTATTCGGTTGTTTAATTACATCACATATATGTGTCACAAACTACACCTATCTAAAAATATGCTTCAAGTACATGATAGCAACGTGCATACAAGTAGCCAAAACGAACTGTAACAACTACTCTGAGCTCTCTCATTCCACAAGGTATTTATATTGTCGTCAATGGTTAAAAAGCTATCACGGGTTATATTTGGTGCCCCATATTTACAATTCTAAAGCTTTTCGTCTTAATGATGATTAGTTGACAAGGACCGCAGATTTGTAATTGACATCATGTAGTTATATTTGTATAACATCATGTCTGGATGGTCTTTGATGAATTTTATTTGCAATAATTTGGACCAGTACACTTTGTTTGTATCATTGTTCCCATCTGGTTGGTGTTCAAGAAAGTCTTTTTTCAAAACATCAGTACATTGTGGAAAGGGCCTCTGCATTTTTAAAATCAATGAAGTCATCATGATTTATCATATTTACTTCCTTCCGCTTTAGTTGAAGCAAAGGGCATGCCTATCGCAGTCTCCCGCTACTGAGCATTAGTGAATACCAGTTAGTATTTTGTGTGTTTTCTCACTTCACAATTTCAAATGAATTTCCTGCTCTTGAATCACTTCTGTCTGTCAATGCTCCTTATGGAGTATTGTCGTACATGTGTCATGTTTAAGTTTATGGAATTTGATATTGAATCTGGTATCGACTACTCAGCGTTAAAATAAGTGGATTTCTGGCGCAATATTCCTTTCATTGCACCAGTAAACATACATCCTATGCAGTGGTGGGATTCAAATTTTTTGTCAGCCGGTTCCTTCACAAAAGTCATATTTTTCAGCCGGTTATGTTACAAACAGAACATTGACAGTAACCAGCAATGCTAATCGGTTCGCTGATCTCATAAAATTCCGTGAGGCGGCTCTATAGAACCGGTGCGAATCGGCTGAATCCCACCACTGATGACATGCATTATGGACAGTGAAGGTCCCCCCGACAGATACTCAAATTTTGACGCAATCCTGACATAATGGCTCTCTACAGTTTTATAGAGCTTGATGTGTTTGATGACTGGTGCTTCTCTGCCTTCATCTACCTTTTTTCCGGTTTCCCTTACTGTCTCTTCGATCTGGGGTAGTCTCTCCATTTGATGCTATTTTATTGAGTGCCGATCGTACCATTTTCTGCGATATAGAAAGAGAGGAAGAAACTTTACCAAGCTATAGAGACATGTCATTTGTCTCTTCTTGCCAGTGATGGAGTTCCCTGGAGCAGGGAAAGGCCATGAAGTCGATACAAATAAGATAACAGCACCAGAAGTTGTTACAAATTTTGTTACCCCATTTTTATTTCACTGATAGCAATAAGTATTTTCTGGAGAAGATGCAGTGAACAATATTGGAACAATTCCAAGCTACGTGGGCCAGCGCTGTGTCCAGTATGGGCCGTTATCAAAAAACTAGAATTCAGTGCTTATAAAATGTCATTTTATTCAATTCCCAACTCCATGAATTAAGACGATTTCTACAATCAATAAAGCTGTTTTTTTTCATAAAATGAAACGTATGTAATAAGCAACTAAATTATCATCAATCATAGAATAGCCAGTAAGTATAGATAAGTTTGCAGCATAGCTATGCCCCTTTGGCATCCACAGTCCTCACAAATTTGTATGCGACTGCTCTTGTCTCTTCTGGTGAGTGCTGGATCTTTCAAAGAGCAGACAACATCATCCAAATATATTACAAAGATGTCACTTTCTCTAACATGGAATTTAGTTTTCGCTAGATTGATTTACCGACAGCCTTGAAACTGACCCCGTCTTCATCCAGGTCATAGCTTCCAAAGGTTTGTAAAATATAGCGGTATGTCGACGGCCACCCTTGACTTTAAATAGCATCAAATCACCAGCTTTCATTTCTACTACTGGAGGAACAAACTCGTTATATACTTCAATGCTATCTACACCCTCCTCTAACTCAATCATTTTATTTTCTGAGCTTTCCAATAATGCTACTGTTAGATCACTGTTGACGAATTCTATGATTTTTCCTGCCTTCCAGTTTTTTTTTTACCTTGCTTTACTTTTTATTCTACATTCAGTTCTAATATGTCTTTTTGAAGTGCTGAAGCACTACTATAATTCTTTTCTCTCTCTTTTTGCAGCGCCAGTAATTGGTCGTAATTATCTTACAATGCCAAAGACCTTACACAGAAAAACAAGCAACGTCTTGTATGAAATCCAAAACAGGAATGAATTTATTATCCACAATAACACGCGCTATTGCGCGAGAGAAATAACACGAGGAAAACGAAATCAGCGAGGCATATCGTAATCAGTCGACGCTTCAGATGCGTCGGCAGTACAAACACTTATTATCACACAATAAAGGACAAACACTCGTTATTATATAACTGGCGCATCCCTCCTTCTCTCCCATAATGGGTATTACTATGAAAAACATTGCTAAAACTTAGTAGAATGACGAGAAAGTATAGGTCACTTAAAAACCGAATGCCATAGTAAACGAAATTGTAATCAAAACAAATACAAAACCGGGCTTATTCTAAAATGTAATCACTCAAATATGAAGGCTTACGATGCTCACGACGGGGGTAGCGAGATTGTGGTGCTGGGCCATCTTGCAAAAATAATTCTGGTGGTCCAGGAGGGGGAACATTCGCAGTAGGTAATTGGGGGAGTAAATCTACAAATGAGCTTGGTAGTAGCGGAGGATAGAAATCCTCAGAGTTCTCGTCATTGATTGTGGTATCTGGTATAACTTGGGAAGGGGAAGGTAATGTGGGTGAAACTAAAAAACAATCAGACTTTCGAACTTTGTACGAATTGGCTCGAAGCTGATTACCAATGAATTTTTTATATTACACCAGTCACCATTGACAGACACAATCAAGTACCTGTCCCGGGCTTTAGTTTTTTTGCGGTCAGCATATAAATATACAAGATCACCTACACGAATCATGGGAGATATAGGAATAGGGTTACGGCATTTTGACTTTTGGCTGGGCTTATGGTTCTGGAGTCGACTAGCATATTGTTTTTCAATCATGTGTCTGTCTTCCATAGGAATTTGTTGATTAGTGAATTGGTCTCTTTGGGTCCACATTTCCCGTGATGATAATCCCCTCTTGCGTAGTCGTGAATTAAGATTAGCAAGGGCCACTGATAATGTGACATGAGAAACAGGCTGATTGTCCGGTGCAAGTCTTAGTAATTCTTCCTGCACTTCTTGTACGGCTTTTTCAGCAATGGGATTTTTATTGATGTTCTTCGAATGGCCAAGTTCGAGTGTAAGTCGATGCTTGGCTAGTCTGTTATTTTTTGCCATTGAAGCAAAGGCAGGAGCAGAGTCTGTGCGTATTAATGCTGGTGGGCCATCAAGAGGGGTCATATCCAAAGTTAAACACACAAGACCATTACGTAAAGTCTCTTCTCTTTCATTTTCAATTAAGCAGGCTCGTGTGAAAGAGGTAACACATTCTCGTATGACTAATATCAATTGTTTTCTTTGTTTAATAACGTCTGCAGCAAACATTGATCCGACGGATGGTAAGTTATCACTGGTAGTTTGTGGTATGGGGCGGGACACAAACTTTTTCAGGGAGGCACATTGATGGCAGGCATTAGAAACATGTTTAATCATAGCATCAGAATCAAGAGCAAAAAAATAACGATTAAATACAGATGCCAATTGGTGAGCGGAGGGGTGCTCTAATTGAATATGTAAAGCAGTTAAAATAGCATCAACGAAATGACGTGGAATAATAATACGATCTTGGCGAGAGGAAAAAGGGCGAGATGTATGATAAACAAGTAATCCATCACTAGCAATAGTGGCATGCATGAGGTAACGTTTCACGTCAATGATCTTAGTCAATTTTTTTGATGGTCTGGTGCCTTGTTGTAGGTGAGCGTGGACCCGCCGAAGATCCGCACATTCTTTTTGAATCGTAAGCCAGGCAGACCTAGAAGTAAACGGCATTTTAGTGTGGCCTGATAAAATGTCGCGAACAGAAACCTCACGCATGACAGGTTGTTGCTTGATATCATCAATAAAAGCACAAATTTGACAGTTATTAGTACAACACTCCGGTGCATTACGACTAGCAAAATCTGAGGGGAGATTTTTAGAACCCGCTAAGTGCTCCAGGGTGACTTGATATTGACTTGTGACTGATAAAAATGTTGAGAGTCTTGGGCTAGCTGAAAACTCTCCTCGGCATAGCTTTTGAAAGGCCTGAACGCAAGGCTTACTGTCTGTTAGAACCCGTGTAGTATTTGCAGATTGGATGATATAGGGAGCAAAGTGCTTGATAGCAGATGCAATACTGAGGGCCTCGATTTCGCATGGAATCCAGGAAGTGAAGCGAGACTTAAGTTTAGTGCTAAAAAAACCAGCAAGGTGTGTCTCGCCCTCACGTGTAATATACAGTGTGGCTCCTAAACCCGGATGTGAAACTGAACCATCAGTAACTAGCCACAATAAATCACTGGGTCTTGGTAATGTTATAGACTTGTTGCTAGATAAATGAGATTGAGCAGAGTGAAAACTTTGACGTAGCTCATCATTCCACAAAATACTTTCTTGGGAAGCACGGTTATCAGTGACTTTTTGTAGGTCACACAGAAAATTTGCACATTTGGGTATGACTCTAGCAAGAACACGGTAAGCTCCTAAAAATGACCGCATAGCTGCTACAGTTTTAGGTGGGTCGCATGTGGATAATGTGGCAATACGATGTGGGGATGCTTTAATTATGCCTTCTGACCATATCCAACCAAGGATGGTGGTTGACTTGGGGGCTATAATAGTTTTGGAAGCAGATAAACATAAACCACATTTTGATAAGGCAGAAAGCACACTACTCCAGTTACGGAGCAATTCCTCAGGAGTATTTCCCCCACAGTATAAATCGTCTGCTATTTTAGTTACGATACCAGCCTGTAATAGGTCACCTAAAACCCGGCACATAAGCTCTTCCAATGCAGTTTCAGATCCAGGCATTCCCATAGCAGATCTGGTATATACCCGGGTACCACGAAATGGTGTTACCACACCACAATATTTCATAGACTTCTTTTCAAGTGGGATTTGATAGAAGGCACTTGTGAGATCCGACACGACTATGTATTTCCAACATGCAATTTTGCGCAGAGTAGAGTCAACATCAGGTAAAAGGGAAGGTTGTGGTTTTGAGTATCTCCCAACGTCTGCGAATGCAGTGACTAGACGATAACCCCCGAGGCTTTCTTGACTAAGAAGGAGGGGTTTAAATATTCTACAGTGACCCCAACGCATTCTGGTTTTTGGAAAACACCCAATGCCTCAAGTTCATCAAACTTTTGCTGTAACTCAACTAATTTATCACGCGAATATTGAGGTATTCTACCTTTCCGTTGAGGGGGCTGGGTAGGTCCCATATTAACCACAGCTTTGAAGGGACCAACAGCTCCATTGTAACCGGGAGGGCTCGGGTTAAACACGCTATCAAACTTTTGGTGTAAGTGTTGAAATTTTGCGACAACGTCTGAGGGCAGGATATGTTCAGGATCGACTTTTATGTTGGTTGCAAACGGAGGGGATGGTCGAACGAAGGAATTATGGTTGGTAGACTGGGTAATGGATTGTTGAGATATAACAGGTAAAAGTTGGGCGAATTGTTGATGCTTGTCAATACGTGCAGGTTCGCATGATGAATTTTGAATAAGGATGTAATCGTTATGGCGGGGAGCAATGCAAGGCGTTAACCATTTTTCAGTGGTAACGGACTGACAATCGATGCGAGGCTCGACAGCCACCTCGTCAACATCAAGCAAATGATTTGGTAAGGGAACTGTCATAGTTTCGCCAGGCCAAAGGACGCGTGACTTGCTGGAGTGTCTAATAATATGAGGCGGGTGACTAGCCTCACTATTGAGACGTTTATCATCATATGGCAGTGGAGGAAGGTTGCGAATACTGATGGTATGCTTTGCAGGTCGCAAAATGATATCGTTCTCGACCATAAACGGGGTGCCAGCCAAAATGTCGGAATCTAAATGCTGAACTACCAGTGCTTTAAAAGGCATAGAAACAGCATCAAGTGATAGGGTAATAGCTGTTTCGCCAAGTACATTTAAAAATGATGATCCGTCAGCCTGTAGAGCTTTTTGAGAGCACTTTGATATTTTGGCGCCCAAAAGACTAGCAAGGGATAGAGATATCATATTACACTCAGCACCAGTGTCAAGCACGACACGGATGGGTTTTCCTTTACAGTACAAGACCAGGTGAGGGCAATGGCATATGTTAACACGTCGTGAGCGGTAAATATAATGATTAGAGTTAGAATTTACCTCAGGACAGTCAGAAGATGCTGAACTTATGTCCACCAAAGGATCCATGTCATCGTGATCCGTACTGATCATACGTGCTTTAGCCATGAATTGCTTATCGTTGTCAGGAAGGAAAGGGCAGCGGCTCAAGTAATGCTTGAATGGTCGACCCCCTTCCTTGCACAGAGGGCATGATTGACGTATGTTAATGTTGCGGCGGCTGGAACTATCCTTCTTTGAATTCAACTTTTGAGAGTGAAGAGATCTACACACTTTGGCATATTCCATGGAGGCCAGCTCGTCTAATAGCGACTCGAGCGCTCCTGAAATTTCAGGTTTGATAGAAGCTAGTGTGCGAGAACGCAGCTCAGTTCCATAACGTTGCTTAACGAGCATTGGTAAATCCTGGTGCAACAAAGACAACCAGAAATAAACGATTGTATTTTCCAAGGTAGGAGTTAAGTCTTCGTCTTCCGTTGGCACAGAGCCGTGATGAGTAATTGAGCTAATTGTGGTAGCGAGGTTGTCTTCAAAAAAAGACACTAGGCGTTGGTAAAGGTCTTCTGCTCTTTCCCCATCTTCAAGTTTGATATTGGCTAACTCCAGGAGATGGGCGCCGGTAGTATGGAACCCAAAATGCATGCGGAGCGCTTGCCAAATACAGTTCAAAGATGTGGAATTCTTGACGATGGTGTTGCGAGACATAATCGGACAATAATTTGCTATTTGTCCGAGCATCAACTCTAAAGTGGCGTTTTTTTGAATTGCCGACTTTCTGCGGTCTTCAGCTACTGCCTCTCCATCATCGGTCAGACCTCTCAGTGGGTTAGCTTTGGTTTGTTTCTCCCATTGGACGTCAGGGGCAAGAAAAGGCGTAAAGTTATTGTCCAGGGCTAAAGTGTATAGCAGATTTTGTCTCCATGTTTCGAAGGAAGTGATTGTCTCACATTTCTTCAGAGGCCACTGCTTAGGTGCTTTAACAGCTGCCATTGTTAACCTCAGTATAGGAGATATACAGCGTAGAATTCGTCTTCGCTGCCACCACGCCAGTAATTGGTCGTAATTATCTTACAATGCCAAAGACCTTACACAGAAAAACAAGCAACGTCTTGTATGAAATCCAAAACAGGAATGAATTTATTATCCACAATAACACGCGCTATTGCGCGAGAGAAATAACACGAGGAAAACGAAATCAGCGAGGCATATCGTAATCAGTCGACGCTTCAGATGCGTCGGCAGTACAAACACTTATTATCACACAATAAAGGACAAACACTCGTTATTATATAACTGGCGCAGGAGTTGTGTTTTCGGACAGGGGCCTTTGGCAATGGACGTATGATTTCTGGGGAAACGACCGTTCGTGATGATCCAGGCAGGTCATAGTGTTTGGCATGTAGTCTATCTATCTATGATGTTCCTTCTCCGAAGCATGTTCAAGAGGTTGATGCGTGCTCGGTAAACGCATCTGAGTTTGGCGGCCAGATTCCGCTCATTTCGAATTCCTTTACATTATTGGTAATGGTGAGGGTTGTTTTTACTAGTACGCTGTCATCACAAATCGAAAGTGATCTTTAAGGATTGGCTCTTGATTTGATAACGACAAAATTACATACGGAAATGGAAAGAAAGGTAAAAAATACATGTCCTGAGGTCACTATCCCAATTTATAATAATTAACAAGGTTACCAACATGGTATGTGCCGTGTCCCATACCTTGGACAATCTACCCGCCATGTTTTCAGGCAAAATTTGGCTACAAAAAGAGGAGCTGTTTGATCCAACCACCTGTTTAAACGGACCAAGGTACAGGTTCCTAGAACTTTGACAGATTTTATTAAAGAACCACAACTGGTTGTGCTACTACAATTTTAAAAAAGCCCTCTACGCTGCTGACCTGCAAATAACATGTGTTGCTAGGTGGGACTTACGCCATAATCACATCAAGTTACTGGTGATAGTGACATCATAAAAATGTTGAACTGGCAAAGGCCCACACATGAAGATGGCCAATACCTCTCCACTTTCCCTGTTTTATTTCTCCACCATACTGAAAATACATTTTGTATGACCACGCAAAAGTGGCATTTCAAGGTGAAGGAAGGCGCGAACAAAACAATACTGGTTAACGAGCAGCGAAATCCGTGATTGAGTCTAACAGTAATTAAAACCGGGAAAAAGTCAAACATTCTAACATTAAAAACAACCCGTTACATACGAAAACTAACGGGCTAGTAAGGTAACCAAAGTAACCGCATTTCAAATACATAGCAGAATCAAACAACTTCATACAGACGCTTGTTGGAGTTTAATGCCTTGAATTACAAGGTCAGTGCAATATTTATAACATGAAGCTTCATTTAGAGGAGATTCGGAGACTACATATCGTCGTTGAAGGCGCATAACTAGGCTTACCATACGTCCCACTTTAGGCGGGACAGTCCCGTTTTCTAGTGTCTTGTCCCGCCGTCCCGATAAGTCATCTAAATGTCCCGCTTTTGCGTTCAGCCATCCAGCATAATACACAAACATGTTATCGTTACTGTTGTTGCTATGTAGCGCAACGCTAACCTACTTACTGAAGGTGAATGCGTTATTTTGTTTGTTTCGTTGTTTCCCGCTAACATTGTTAACGAAGTATCACATGTAAAATCAATTCTTATTGGTCCTGTTCGGACTTTCACGTGAATGTAACATTGAGCAACGTCTTTTTGAAGGTTGTTATCTACAGAAAAGCATGCTTGGGCAAATAAGTAAATTCTTAATGCTTGAAAACAGCAGACTATTTCATTATTCATTATTACGTTTGCTGTACGGAAAAAATCTAAATTCGGATCATTTGTATCGTTAGCGTCTATTCATTTCTATTTTTCGAACTGAACCCGATATTTATTTAGAGAATATGCTCATGAACTCTCGATGACAATATGGTCAATGAAGACAGTCGGGATGGCTTTAAATGTAGGCCTATGTAGTAAAATCGGAAACTGTGAAGTTACAGGATCACAGCTATAGGGTCGTGTCTTTGAAGGAGTCCGGCTTTGAAGTCAAAAAAATATGGTAACCCTACCCATGACCATATATGCTGATTTCAATATAGTTTATATATATATATGTGTATCAGAACTAGCATACTATTCAAAATAATAACACAGGACGCTATAACTTCCTTTTAACCTGATGCAAAATTACGGCGTTCTCAGTACCACGTAATCAGGCGCGCAGCCAGGATTTTCAAAAGAGGGAGTTTTAAAATCGGAAATTCCCAGTGCCCTCTGTAACAGTCGCCACGATGACGCGCTCGTTGATAGAACCGCTTTTTCAGGGTATAATGAATTTTTTGTCGGTAAAATATTCCATCCGTGACAACTATGAGATTCTGAAATGCCCTTATATATTAATTTATTGTGTCCAAGGTATCTCGCGGTTGCGACTTCTTACGTCAAAAAAAAAACAATACTGCAGTAAAATACCACGGCGATCCGTGGACATAAAAATATGAGATATGCTGCCTGATGTATTCAATTTTGATACGTACTTTTGCAATCTTGCGAACTCGTTATCGCCGTTAGTAAAATCTCGATATCTGATATAAAATACCGTATACCAGTAAATCAAAAATACAAATTCACCGCCTCGAAATCCACGCTGAACAGTGGCCTCGTTAAAAGAGCCGACTTTTCAGTGAAAAATGCTTTTTCTCTTCGGTGTAAAGTCATCAATCCATGACTGATACGGGCAAATTTAAAATGTCTTCCGTTAAATTCAATAGTCTTCAATTTAATCTGCGGTTGCGTCGACAAAACAAGAGCCACTTTAAAACACCACGACAATCCGCAGGCATAAAAATAAAAATGTGACCAGCCCGATTATTACTTATCGATTTTAATCGGTAAGTAAGTTGATAGATATTTGTCTGTCTGTCTGTTAGATGCACGCGATATCTCACGAAGACGAGATTGAATCTGCTCCAGATTTTGCATGAGCATTCATCATATGTCGTACCAGAAGCCTATTAATTTTGGATGAATTATGTAGTATAATTAGCGAGGTAATAATTGATTAGTGATGGGACACAAGATGTCACTATGGAGTAAGAGCGCTGTTTTGGGGATCTCCTAACTTTCGATCGATAAGTCTTCGGTCTCTGACCGATATTCTCGTATTTTGTTTTGATACGTATTTTTGCTATTTTGCGAATTCGACAAATTTGAGATGTACTTGTAACACTGACTCCGTTCAATCGCAATTCTGCCACTCCGATTATTTTTAAGGATAAAACCTTTCAAAAAATCCGTGAATCTGCTGTAAATTCACGTGGAATAAAATTTGTTTCAGTACAAAATAAAAATTGATGAAATATAGTTCAGATTAGTTATTACTTATCGATTTTAATTGGTAAGTATGTTGATAGGTATTTTTCTGTCTGTCTGTTAGATGCACGCGATATCTCACGAAAGCGAGATTGAATCTGCTCCAGATTTTGCATGTACATTCATCATATGTCGTACCAGAAGCCTATTGATTATGGATGAATTATGTCGTATAATTAGCAAGTTATTGATTAATTAGTGATGGGACACAAGGTGTCACTATGGAGTAAGAGCGCTGTTTTGGGGGATCCCCTAACTTTCGATCGATAACTCTTCGGTCTCTGACCGATATTCTCGTTTTATATGTCATCACAAACCGGGAAAAAGTCGTGTTTCCAAATTAATGAGAACACAAAAATTTTCGACGACGATTTAAAAGTAATGGATAAAAAGGCAAATCCCGCCCACAATTAACAGTGTTTTGATTTTAGTGACGGTATGTTTCTGAACGTCCACCAAACATAATGTGTGCCGTAGACCACACAAAATTTTGCGATTTTCAATGCCAAGGAAACTTTTTTCGACTGTCGCGGGACTCAAGAAAACTTATATTGTTTATGGTTTTATTTTTAGTGTTTTATATGGCGTCTTTTCAATCAAAAATTTAGATCGCGCATTTACTCCTACATTTGTCTTTAGAATCTCGCCGCCAATGAACGTATAATAACTTCACAATTTGGTGCAAGTACGAAAATAAAATAATTATCACTGTTATCGTTCAACAAATTTATGATTTAGAGAGAATAAACACCAATGTGGAGGCGTTCACGGCCTAAATAACATGCCACGCCGGTGAAAACAACCGGCAATTTTAGCAGGCAATTGCACGCGTTATTGGCGACTCTTTCAGTTTTCAAAAAAAAAGGGGGGGAGGGGGGGGTCCGACCCCCTTGCAGTTGCTGGCGATTAGTGTGCATTTTTTGACATAAATACATGGTAAATAAACAAATAATAATAGTGAGTTAGAATATCTAAGTTTGGAATATTGTCAAGAAAAAGGTTCTTGTGAAATTTGATCGAAAACAGTAAAATGCTCTCCTAAAAATTTTCCAATATCATTATGAAATTTCTATTTTATCCGTATTTTGCAAAACAGTCTAGTCTGGCTTTTTTGATTTGCCATTTGAATTTAAGGTACAGAAAATGGCTGTTAACTTATTTTTGATTCATTGACAATATGTTGGAAACAAAACTGGTTACTTATCTCCTCTTAAATCATATCTATTTTATCACAGGGCACATCGTTATATTTCTGTCAGACGCGTGATTGTTCATTAGGACTAACAGACATTTCTATTTTCCATATCCGACCATCAAACTTTTAACTTCTAATGATAGCTGCGAATCGCCTGCTATTATGTGCGATGGGACATTTCGTTTAACGAATAAAAAACTTTTTAATATATACATGTTGAGTTGGTTTTTGGTGATGTTGAGATAATGACAAAGTTGCAACAATTTCGGAACATTTTACTTTTTTTTCAAATATCCATTGTCTTGTTTGAGCCCCCAATGTGCATTACTTTAAAATGATCAATTGAACCAAGATATCTACCTGTTTTCTGTTGTCCGTAATACTTGACCGTAATCATTTATCCGTCCATATATATGACTTGTTATTGTATGTTCTTGAAGCAATTTTGGTGGTATCTTAACATTTACCGGTATGGGATTTATAAACCTCAGTGTTCACGTAAAGAAGTAAAGTTTGTTTTACAATACTGATAGTCAAATGTTTTGGCACCCATGAAATATC